AACCAAAAAACAAAAAATCTATGACTTCTGTCAGTTTTCTAAAATTCTCAAGCACCTCCAGTGAGGCATTTCTACTTCCCCTTAATTTTTCTTGGTCTCTGCTTTCCAGATCCCAGACAAACAGTATGTGCTGACAGCCCTGGCTGCTCGTGCCAAGCTTCGAGCCTGGAATGATGTAGATGCCCTATTTACCACAAAGGTGTGTGCCCTGGAACTGTTTAGTGCAGCTGAGGCCTTGGGAGAAAGAAGGGTCGTATCATGTTCTAAATTTTAGTTACTGGTTTACATTTTTCCTCCAACTTTTTATTTTCCAAAATTTCAAACCGAAAGAAAAGTTAAAGAATGAATTTTATAGTTCATGTAGCATAAAAATCAAATATATACTATAATAGTATAATAGTCTTTATCCACATCACTAATTTATTAACAAATTGCCATATATGCTTTCTCTTTTTCTACACCTGTGTGGTTTTCTTTTCTGAACCATTTGAAAGTAAGTTGTAGACATCTTAACACCTCTCCTGTAATACTTCATGAGCACAGTATTATTTTAAAAAAATTAACATTAGTACAATAATATCATATATTTAATCATGGTCCATATTTAAATTAGTTCTTTATAGCTGGTTTGGTTTGCTTCTATATTTTTTCCATTAGGATCCAGTCAAAGACCTTGCATTGAGTTTAGTAGTCATGCCTCTATTATTTGCCTTTTTTTTTTTCCAGTTTGATTTGCCTTTTTTAAAATTAATTTTTATTGTGTATGTTTAAGGCACAACATAATGTTTTGATCTGCATATACATAGTGAAGTGATTACATTGTCAAGCCAGTTAACATCCATCATCTCACGGTTAGCCATTTTTGTGAGTGTGGTAGGAGCCCCTAAAATTCACTTTCTTAGCAAATTTCCAGTATATACGACACTATTAACTGTAGTCCTCATGCTGTACATTAGATTTCTAGATTTATTCATCCTGCATAACTACACAACTTTGTATCCTTTACCCTATATTTTCCCTTCTCTGGAAACTACTTTCTATGTATTTGACTTTTTTAGATCCGACATATGAGTGAGATCATTAGGCTATTTTCCTTTCTGTGTCTGGCTTATTTCATTTAGCATAATGTCCTCCAGGTTCATCATGGTGTCACTTGTCAGGATCTCCTTATTTTTTAAGTTCTGAATAATATTCCATTGTATATCTGTGCCACAATTTCTTTATCCATTCATCCATCAGTGGACACTTAGGTTGGTTCCATATCTTGACTCTTGTGAATAATGCCACAGTAAACATGGAGTGTAGATGTCTCTGTGAGATGCTGATTTCCTTTGGTTATATACCCAATAGTGGAATTGCTAAATCATAGAGTCGTTCTACTTAAACATTTTTGAGGAACACATACTGTTTTTCATGATGGCTGCACTAATTTACATTCCCACTATCAACAGTGTACTGGGGTCCCTTTTCTCTACACCCTTGCCAATACTTGTTATCTTTCTTCTTTTTTTAAGATAAATGTTATTGTATGTTATATATATTTAAGTTATACAATAAGATGTTATGAGATACATGTAGATAGTAAAATGGTTACTACAGTGAAGCAAATTAACATATCTGTCATCTCAAATTATTTTTTTGTGGCGAAAACAGCTAAAATCTATCCATTTAGCAAAACTCCTGATTATAATACCGTATTATTAACTATAGTCCTCATCTTATAATTAGATCTCTAAGGCTGACTAATATTCCAGTGTGTGTGTATATATATACCATAGTTCCATAGTTTCTGTATCCATTTGTCTGTCAATGAACACTTAAGTTGTTTCCTTATCTTGGCTATTTTTTTGGGGATAGGGAATTATTTGTTTATTATTTTTGTAAGTTATAGACATTTAAATTCTCAGGAATAATTTATAATAGTCACATTTCATGAATAGTTAACATCTCATGATCAGTGTTACCATGAATGTGGAAATGCAAGTATCTTTATGAGGTGATGATTTCATTTCTTTTGGGTATATACCCAAAAGAGGGTCATATGGTAGTTCTATTTTTTTTTTCTTTTTTGAGACAAAGTCTCGCCCTGTCACCCAGGCTGGAGTGCAACAGTGCAATCTTGGCTCACTGCAACCTCCACCTCCACAGTTCCAGCGATTCTCCTACCTCAGCCTCTGAAGTAGCTGGGACTACAGGCATGCACCACCACACCTGGCTAATTTTTGTATTTTAGTAGAATTGGGGTTTCACCATGTTGGCCAGGCTGGTCTCGAACTCCTGACTTCAAGTGATCCACCTACCTTGGCCTCCCAAAGCGCTGGGATTACAGGCGTGAGCTACTGTACCCGGCCTTCATTTTGATTTTCTTTAATATTGATTGCTTTGGCTATTCGGGATCTTTGGTGGTTCCATATGAATTGGTTTAAGTTTTAAGTATCTTTTTTTCCATTATGGGTTTGAAAATTTTCTTTTTTGGCCGGGCGCGGTGGCTCAAGCCTGTAATCCCAGCACTTTGGGAGGCCGAGGCGGGTGGATCAC